GATAATATCCCAACAAAAATGAAAAGAAAACAAGCAATGAAACAGAGTAAGATCACCGACTCCATTACAAAAGGAACTAACATGCATTGGTCACTATCATCTATAAATATCAATGGACGCAACTCACCAATAAAAAGACACAGGCTAACAGAATGTTTACCCAACAGGATCCAACATTCTGTTGCTTCCAAGAAACACACCTATGCAACAAAGATAAACACTACCTCAGAGTAAAGAGCTGGAAAATTGTTTTTCAAGCAAATGGTTCCAGAAAACAAGCTGGAGTAGCCATCCTAATATCTAATAAAATAGACTTTCAACCCAAGTTAATCAAAAAAGATAAGGAGGGCCACTATATTCTCATCAAAGGAAAAATCCACCAAGAGGACATCACAATCTTCAATATCTATGCCCCAAATACAAGAGCACCGACATTCATAAATGAAGCATTATTAAAGCTTAAATCATACATTGATCCTGATACCTTAATAGTGGGAGACTTCAACACCCCACTCTCACCAATGGACAGATCAACTAGACAGACACCAAATAGGGAAATAAAAGCACTCACAGAATCCCTAAATCAAATGGACCTAACAGACATCTACAGATCTTTTCACCCAAACTCAAAAGAGTACACCTTCTTTTCAGCACCACATGGAACCTTCTCCAAAATAGACCATATAGTGGGTCACAAAGCAAGCCTCAACAGATACAAAAGGATTGAAATAATCCCTTGTATACTATCTGACAACCATGGACTAAAGCTGCACAACAACAACAACAGAAACAACAAAAAGCCGACACACACATGGAAACTGAACAACTTACTACTCAGTGACAACTGGGTTAAGGAAGAAATAAAGAAAGAAATTAAAGGCTTCCTAGAATTCAATGAAAATGAAGGCACAGCATACCCAAATTTATGGGACACATTGAAAGCAGTGCTCAGAGGAAAATTTATAGCACTAAGTGCCTGCAAGAAGAAATTCGTAACATCACATACAAACAACTTAATGGCCCAACTGAAAAACCTAGAAAAAAAAAAGAAGCAGATACACCCAAGAGGAGCAGACGGCTGGAAATAATCAAACTAAGGGCTGAAATCAATCAATTAGAAACAAATAAAACTATTCAAAGAATCAATGAAACAAAAAGCTGGTTCTTCAAGAAAATCAACAAGATAGACAAACCCTTAGCCAAACTAACTAAAAAGCAGAAAGAAACTATCCAAGTCAGCAAAATCAGAAATGAAAATGGGGACATAACCACAGACACTGAGGAAATCCAAACAATTATTAGGTCATACTACAAAAGCCTATATGCCACAAAATTTGAAAATCTAAATGAAATGGATAATTTTCTTGACAGATTCCATCTACCAAAATTAAATCAAGATCAGGTAGAAAGACTGAATAACCCTGTATCTCCCAAGGAAATTGAAGCAGTCATTAACAGTCTCCCCTCCAAAAAAAGTCTGGGCCAGACAGCTTCAGCACAGAATTCTAGGAGACCTTCAAAGAAGTGCTAACACCAATTTTCCTCAAACTATTCCACAAAATAGAAACAGAAGGAACACTACCAAACTCATTTTATGAAGGCACAGTCACCTTGATATCTAAACCACACAAAGACCCAACAAAAAAAGAGAACTTCAGACCTATCTCTCTTATGATCATTGATGCAAAAATACTCAATAAAATATTGCAAACCGAATCCAAGAACATATCAAAGATATCATCCACCATGACCAAGTAGGCTTCATCTCAGGCATGCAAGGGTGGTTCAACATTTGGAAATCCATCAATGTAATACACCACATGAACAAACTGAAGGAGAAAAACCACATAATCATCAACTTAGATGCTTAAAAAGCATTTGACAAAGTCCAACACCCATTCATGTTTAAAGTCTTGAAGAGATCAGGGATACAAGGCACATACCTAAAGATAGTAAAGGCAATAAACAGCAAGCCTATAGCTAACATCAAACTCAGTGGAGAGAAATTTAAATCAATCCCACTGAAATCAGGGACAAGACAAGGCTGCCCATTGTCTCCATATCTCTTCAACCTAGTACTTGAAGTCCTAGCCAGAGCAATAAGACAACTAAAAAAGATCAAGGGGATACAAATCGGAAAGGAAGAGGTCAAAGTGTCACTATTTGCAGATGATATGATAGTATACATGAGTGACCCCAAGAATTCAACCAGAGAATTCCTTCAGCTGATAAACACCTTCAGCAAAGTGGCAGGATACAAAATCAACTCAAAAAAAATCAGAAGCCCTCCTGTATACCAAAGACAAAAAGGCTGAGAAAGAAGTTAAGGAAACAACACCCGTCACAATAGCCACTAATAACATAAAGTACCTTGGGGTGACTCTAACCAAGCAAGTGAAAGACCTGTTTGAGAAAAACTTCAAGTCTCTGAAGAAAGAAATTGAAGAAGATCTCAGAAGATGGAAAGATCTCCCATGCTCATGGATTGGTAGGATTAACATTGTGAAAATGGCCATCCTGCCAAAAGCAATCTACAGATTCAATGCAATTCCCATCAAAATACCAACTCAATTCTTTACAGACCTTGAAAAAAAGATTCTCAGCTTCATATGGAGAAACAAAATACCCAGAATCTCCAAAACAATCCTGTACAACAACAGATCATCTGGAGGTATCTCCATCCCCGATCTCAAGCTGTAAAACAAGGCAACAGTAATAAAAACTGCATGGTATTGGCACAGAAACAGAAAGGAGGATCAGTGGAACCGCATAGAAGACCCAGAAATAAACCCACACACCTATGAATACTCGATATTTGACAAAGAAGCCAAATCCATTCAATGGAAAAAAGACAGCATCTTCAACAAATGGTGCTGGACCAACTGGATGTCTACATGCAGAAAAATGAAAATAGATCCATATTTATCACCCTGCACAAAACTACAGTCAAAGTGGATCAAGGACCTCAAAATAAAACCAGATACTCTAAATCAGTTGGAAAAAAAAGTGGGGAACAGCCTAGAACTCATTGGCACAGGAGAAAACTTCCTGAACAGAACACCGACAGCACAGGCTTTAAGAGCAACAATCAATAAATGGGACCTCATGAAACTGAAAAGCTTTTGTAAAGCTAAAAACACTGTCATCAAAACAAAATGACAGCCTACAGATTGGGAAAGAATCTTCACCAACCCTTTATCTGACAGAGGGTAATATCTAGTATATATAAATAACTAAAGAAGCAGAAAAGCAACAAACCAAGTAATCCCATTAAAAAATGGGGAACGGAGCTAAACAGAGAATTCTTGAAAGAGGAACATCGAATGGCAGAGAAACACTTAAAGAAATGCTCAACCTCATTAGCCATTAGGGAAAAGCAAATCAAAACGACCCTGAGAATTCACCTTACACCCTTCAGAATGGCCAAGATGAAAAACTCAAGTGATAACACATGCTGGAGAGGTTGTGAAGAAAGGGGAACACTCCTCCATTGCTGGTGGGAATGTAAACTGGTACAGGCACTTTGGAAGTCAATCTGGCACTTTCTCAGACAATTAGGAGTAGTGCTACCTCAAGACCCAGCTATACCACTCCTAGGCATATACCCAAAATTGGCTCAAGTACACAACAAGGACATTTATTCAACCATGTTTGTAGCAGCTTTATTTATAATAGCCAGAACTTGGAAACAAACCAGTTGTCCATCAAAGGAGGAATGGATACAGAAATTGTGGTATTTTTACACAATGGAATACTACTCAGCAATCAAAAAGAAGGAAATCATGAAATTTGCAGGCAAGTGGTGGGATCTAGAAAAGATCATTCTGAGTGAAGTATCCCAGAAGGAGAAAGACAAACATGGTATATACTCGCTTATATAGACCTACAAGATATGATAAACATAATGAAATATACAGACCTAAAGAAGATAATCAAGAAAGTGGACACAGGCAAAGATGATCAATCCTCATTTAGAAAGACAAATTGGATGTGCATTGAAGGTATGACAGGAATCTACCGCAAAAGGCATCTGAAAGACTCTACCTAGCAGTGTTTCAAAGCAGACACTAAGACTCATAACCAAACCCTAGGCAGAGTGCAGGGAATCATATGAAAAAAGGGAAGTTAGTATGATATGGAAAGGATAGGAGCTCTACAAGGACCAAATAAATCTGTGCACAGGGGTCTTTTCTGAGACTGATACTCAACCAAGGACCATCTATGGATATAACCTAGAACTTCTGCTTGGATGTGGCCCGTGGTAGCTCAGTAACCAAGTGGTTTTCCAAAGTAAGGGGAACAAGGACTATTTCTAACAGGATCTCAAGGTCAGGCTCCTTGACTCCCCCCCCCCCAGGGGAGTAGCAGTCCTGTTAGGTCACAGAGGAGGACTCTACAGCCAGCCCTGAAGTTACCTGATAAAACAGGGTCAAATGAAAGGGGAGGAGGTCCTCCCCTATCAGTGGACTTGGAAAGGGGCAGGGAGGAGACCAAGGAGGGAGTGTGGGGTTGGGGATGGAATGAGGGAGCGGGATACAGCTGGGACACAGAGTTAACAAAATATAACTAAAAAGAAAAATTAAATTAAAAAATAAAAATAAAAATAAAAGGACTGCATATGATCCAACTATGGCTCTGGACTGTAATATGTCCAACTCTCGTTCACTGAAGTTCTAAACGGTCAATCAGCCTTGTAGAAGGTTCATTTTGAATGTTCATCTTTTTTTGTGAGAACTTTTGCTCATAAAATCAAGTGCTATGTGAAACTAACCACAAATTCTTACACACTTTTTCTTAGAAGGACAAGTGGGAGACATGGAGCAATAGAAACCTCATTACCATCTCTTTCATTTGGAACTTCTTTGAACTGGTAGAGAAAAGATATTCAAAATCCTCAGAGCTTTAATGTGCTTAGAGGTCCACAGATGAGCCAATTGAAGACCAATGATGATGAGCTCCATGTGACCTTTCTAATGGTCCCTTCTACGTTTTGATTTCAGAATTGAAGACTTCAGATTCTGGTAAAGTCCTTGTAGCTGTGCTCTTTGGACCCAAACTGCTGCTGGTAATTGGAGTGTTTGCTGTGTACAGGTTCAAGAAGCAGAAGGCCTGACGGTACGTTAGAGGGGATGCAGGTGTATCAGTTAATTTTCTGTTTCTGTGATGAAACATTATGAGTACAACAACTTATAGTAGAAAAGGGGTTATTTGGCAGTTTACTGTTCCAGAGACATGATTCCCTCACGCTGGGGATAAATGGCAGCCAGGACAGATGTCAAGTGTCCACATTCTTAGAAAAAAGCATGAAACAGATTAAACAAACGAGAAGTGGCAAAAAGCTTTCAATCCCAAGGCTCACTTTCTGAAACATATTTCCTTTAGCAAGGCTAGACCACCTAAATCTTCCCAAACAGCACCCACAACTAGGAATCAAGATTGAAATATCCTAGAATGTAGGGAATGGTTCTTATTCAAAGCAGATGGATATCAGTGTTTTGATGAAGATAGAAATAGCAGGATCAGTAGGAGGGCCATGCCATTTATCTGTGGTAATAGCTTGCTGCTGAGGTTCATCAAGAATCTTGTGGAACCCTTTGATACATCCCTAGCTCATAGGAAGTGTGTGCATAGTGCTGAATGTTTCAGTCCAGGATCAATAAAGGTTGCCAAAGAGACTGAGAGAATGTGAGGGCAATGGTCCCTGGGGTAGGACATGGTGTATTGGCTTCACTATTCTTTTTGTTTGTTTGTTTGTTTGTTTGTTTCTGTTCCCCTTTTTTCATATCCTCTCTAGCATGTGTTGTCCATTCTAACTGGTGTAAGATGGAATCTTAGAGTCATTTTGATTTGCATTTCTCTGATGGCTAAGGACATTGAGCATTTCTTTAAGTGCTGCTCAGTTATTTGAGATTGCTCTGTTATGAATTCTAGGTTTAGGTCTGTATTCCATTTTTTCCCTTTTTTAAATTATTTTTATTAATTATACTGTATTCACTTTGTATCCCCCCATAAGCCCCTCCCTTCTCCCATCCTGATCTCACCCTCCCTCCCCGTTCTTCACGTATGCCCCTCCCTAAGTCCACTGATAGGGGAAATCATCTCCTTCCTTCTGACCTTAGTCTATCAGATCACATCAGGAGTAGCTGCATTGTGGCTTCACTATTCTTATTGGAGGTCACTACAGCATGTGAAAGATTCAGAGTTCATGGGAAACATCAGACTACATTTATGGGACAGAATTTAGACAATCCAAATGACTGTAATAATGACTGTTTTTGCTTTGGCTTCTCTGTGACCTTGAAGAATGGACCCAGAGACTGCATGACTCAGGAGCTAGGCTGAGATGACACTTTTATGACATGGGCACCTCATCCACTCAGGGCAGGAATGCTCTAGGGGGAGAGATGTACCATGGACACTGTAGCACTAAGAAATTATGTTAAGCAATGACAGGAGTATTGAGTGAGAGGTGAATCTCCTCAGCTCTTCCCCTCATCCTCTAGAACACTGAATCCCTGAGTATCTGCCAGAGAGGCTCAGTCTAGAAGAAGAAGCTGGTGAAAATCATGGAAGACTGTTCCTAATGACTCCCTTACAAGGACAACCCCAACACAGAAATTTTTTCTTTCTTCGCATCTGCATTGTTATCCCAGAGCTCTGATGCTGTGATCTTATCAGGTTCTATTCTTGGAGTACTTTTGTCATTATTAACATAATTTAAAGATGGACTTTAAGTTCAAGAATAATCTAACTTAGTGTAAAGAAAAATTCTCAGTACAGGCAAAGTGTAAATCTCAGCAACATCATGGAAAAGCAGGACAATGGAGGATAACAGGGAAAAGCAGCTTTGCTGTTTCAGAAGTCATGGATATAAGAAAGGAAGGCTTACCAGCTGAACCTTAGCACAGCATGTAGGAACAGTGCTGTGCTGGGAGAATTCTAGAAAGCATGTGGTAGTGTATCAAGTAATGGGAAAAATTATTTTGATTTCTTTTGTTATTGAGACAGGATCCCACTATGCAGCCTTGACTCTTCTGGAACACACTATTTAGACTAGACTTGCCTTGAACTCATTAAGATTGGCTTGCCTGTACCTCTTGCATGCTGGGATGGATTGTGTGTTGTACCATTACATCCATTTAGGAAAAATTATTCCATTTATCCTTTTACTGTAGTGTAAGAGTGTCCTTTGCCTGATGTACTATGCATAGAGAGGACCTAGACTCTCTACTGGCTGATTGGCAGCCCAGTCTCAATAAGGATCTCTGAATGAGGGGATCAGGGGCTGCCTCTATCACGAATTCAATTGACTGCTCTCTGATAATGGCCACTGATGATGCAGCCTTGCCAGGCCACAGAGGAAGAGGATTCAGGCAGTCCTGAAGAGATATGATAATCTGTGCGAAGATGGCAATGGTGGAGAACTCCTCATTTTATGGACTAAGGGAAGGATATTGGAGGAACAGAGAGGAAGGGTGGGATTAGGGATTTGAAGGATTGGGCTTCAATCAGGATATAAAATGAATAAATTGTGAAGAAAAATATATAAATAAAAATTATAAAAAAGAGTGTCCTTTGCCTGAGCAATTGACCCTGAGGTCTCCACCAAGGTCACAAGTTTTGTTTTATTGATCAACTTCTTTAATGAGCTTTTATTGATACTCTAACACCACTCTGAAATTAACCCTAAAATCATTTTGGAAAACAGTCATGGAACATAGCCTCCAAACATTTTTGTTCTCTCTGGCCTTTAGCAAGAACAAGGCTGCAAAGAGCCCAGAGGAAAATTTTGGTTTCTAGATAAAGGTAGAAATTCTTTGAGGTCTGTTTACACTAAATCCTGTTCAGTTTCTACCTCTTATCCTTTTGTTTTTGCTTTTTTCCAGACAGGTTCCACTGTGCAGCGTTGTCTGTCCCAGGACTCACTGTATAGACCAGGCTGGCCTCGAACTTACAGAGATCCACCTGCTCTGACTACCAAGTGGTGGGATTAAAGTTGTGCACCACCATTCCGTGCTCTACCTCTTATTCTCATCACAAGATCTTTATCAACTGTGTGAAAAACAATCTGAACCCCGCTTCTTGGTATGAAATTTCCCTTTTTGTATACATCTGCCTGTTTATCATCCATTCCCTTGGAGTTGTCCATCACTGCTCACTTTAGTTCATGTTCTCTGGTGCTCTTCTGGCTCTTAAACTCCCAACCTATTGATATTCTCTGCTGAGCTGTATCATAATTTTAGGAATAAAAATTATTCTCATTTCTATTTTTCTCAAAGATCCTCATCAAAAATAAATAAGTAAATGCTCTTTAATTATTGAGATGAGGACATATTTTTTCTGTCATCTTTATTGTTCTCATCCCTACTGCTTATGGTGTAAAGGTTATGAAAATTCACTGAATATGGCCATTTTGCTTTCTCTTTCTCCTTGATATCTCTCTCTCTCTCTCTCTCTCTCTCTCTATCTATCTATCTATCTCTCTGTGTGTGTTTCTTTCTCACACACATATACAATGAAGACTTTAAAATGGGTATCACTACTCTTGACAGGGTAAATATACAAAATTTGGTTCTAAAAAGAGGAGAAAGTACTGATCTGTACTGCTTTCGACATTCCATCATGTAAACACTATTCTTAAGGTCAGTGTCAATTAGCCAACCTTTAAAACTCTGAATGCCCAGCCATGACAATTTATCACAGAGTGATCCAACCTGTGCCTATACATCACTGCACTGTGTGTACAGTTGGAGCACGGCTTAATTGCCTGTCTGAACTTGCCACAGCATCTCCTATGAACTCTCTCTACAGCTTCTACTAGCTCCTATTTTAGCTACCAGAATGTATTGATAAGCTAAGTTAAATAGATTGACCTCTCTGCTTCTTCCAAATATATCTTTCTTTAAAATTATTTACCTTATGTCCTGATTGTATCTCATCCCTCTTTCTTCAGAGACCTGAAGTTTTTCCACAGCCAAAAATAATATAAAGTATCTCTGAACCAGCAAGTTATAGACCTGTATGACAAGAACTTCAAGTTTCTAAAGAAAGAAATTAAATAAGATATTAGAAGTTGGAAAGATGTCCCATGGTCATGGATTGGTAGAATTATCATAGTAAAAATAGTCATTTTTACCTAAGGCAATCTACAGATTCAATACATTTCCCATCAAAATGTCGGTACAATTCTTTATAGACCTTAAGGAAACAATTCTCAACTTCTTATGTAAAAATGAAAAACCAAGAATAACTAAAATAGGGGGGAGTTCCAAGATGGAGGCGAACAGTGCACACCATTTTTTAGAGGCAGAGGACATGAATCTCCGGAATTTGTGAGTGGAGTGACAATCGAAACTAGAATTTAAACTTTTGTGATTTCTAAAGGAGAAGGGACACCACAGAAGCATGAAGTGCTTGTAGAGTTAAATCGAGTGCGGAATTCTCTGGGAACAAAGTGAAGCGCTTCCATTGTCAGGGCCTTCCTCATGGGGAAACCTGCACACAGCACCAGGCAGCTGAGTGCAAAGCTCACAGCCTGGGGACTAAGACAGCAGAGACAGTGCTCCAGGCCCTTACTACAGTGAACAGGTGTAACTGCCCCAGCCCCGCCCAGGACCCTCTTGCCGAGCTCCTGACCCACAGAACATCTCCTCCCCCCATCCCGCTGATGCGATCCCACCACAAGAAGCACAGCGAGCTCACATCCCAAGCAGCCAGAGTGCACACACCTCCAGAAAACGCCCCACCAGAGGGCACCCATTGCCAGCACCAGAGCGTTGGCCCAACCACAGAGCGCCAAGGATCAGTCTTGTAATCCTTCCTGGATCCCAAAGCCACAAAGCTCAGTGCAGGGGGCTCCAGACCCTGCAATCCCAGCTGAGAGCTGTAACCACCTGCTGAACGCCACCACTCAGAGCACACGTCTGAGGAACTCACACCCCGCCTAGTGCCCTCTTGCCAAGGAGCTCTGGACCCTCAGGATGCACCCCCCACTACCACCACCACCTGGTCCCAATGGAGTGCACGCACCGCCGAAAACTCCACCCTACCAGGGTGCACACCCAAAGAGTGCTAGCCACAGAGACTCAGATCCGAAGTACAATCCTTTCCAGA